AACACTCACCTGATAATTCAACCTACCTTTAGCAGCAATTTGGAGAATATCCACTTGCCTTATAGACATTCACACAGCTAAAATCAATCCGAAGCCCTAAGAAAATTTTGCCCACCAAGTACACAAAAGGATAAAGAACAGAGAAAAGGGGTATTGCTAAAAGTAAGCGATCAACCTACCTCTGTTTTCCATTAGAGAATAAATCTGTGAATGCAATAAAATAAAAAACTCTCCCACCAGAAAAAAATTTCAGTACATAAAATGCTCTGCTGCAAGTTTAGTATGGGCGTGAACGGTTTCCACCATGATAATTCCTATTTGGTCCAGATCCACCACCGTCTCTAAAGTTGTCTCTACGTCTGTCGCCTCCATAGCCACCTCTACCACCTCCCCTGTAAAACAAGTAGTGATCAACTCTAAAGAGTATATCATTTCCGTACAAAGATGTGTAATTTATTATTCTCGAAAACCAGATTTCAAATATATAGTGAATGCAAGAAACAGTGTTTATTTTAGGGCAAAAAATAAATATCACGTACTATATGAAGCTACTAGTTTAACTACTCGAACATCTTGAAATGTTTATGATGCGGTCACAAATTACCTTTAATGTCATATAAGCTAATGAGGTTTAACTATAAAAGAATAGTAACATTATTGACTCCATAATTAGAAAAAAATTGGTTTCCACCAAAAACAAATGGTACATTAAGATTTTGGAGAACATACAAGCTAAGGGCACTAATTCAATTAACTGGAAAGATAGAAGTAGAACTAAATAACTCGCAAGTTACAGAAATGTCCTCCCAGTCCTAAGCCAGATACAACAGAACCATCAAACCAACTATAACTAATGCACACTTAACGGCCTCAAGGATAGAGTCATTAAGGGCAATTAGTCCTAAATAATATTCAACTGAACCTGCTAATTCCCTTAGTCTCATCCGCACAAACTAGCATTCAGTAAGACAAGAAATAATGCAACAGAGTATTTGCCTTCTGGTACCAGTTTCATACTGGAAAGTGAGGCTTTAGTTTCCCCTTGCTGACAGTTGCTGACAGGCACTGGTTTGACAAGACCCCATGCAAGGTTATTTTGATGAGGAATTTCTTCACAGATTCAAATGATAGTATTACACTGGTCTAACATTATCAACTCTAGAACTTTAGACTGAGTCACCATCCTAGTTCCCTATCCTCAGCTCTTTCACCACTAAGGGAGAACTATAATACCCATGTCCTTATTCTCCCTCAATAGAATATCAAATCCAATCAAACAAACCACATATCGAGACACCCTACTTTCTATCAATACATACTGCATACATAATCAAATATCCCCAACAATGTCACTTTACACATATATCCCATTCCAGTACACGTAAAAAAAAATACATTTGATGTGCATAGATCAAAAGGTTGTTAGTTGTAAATATACTCCCAAACATCTGAATCCTATCTATCTAAACATATCCCTGATTGCATCACAGCATAGTTTATTGTAGCATGAATGTAATACATGTTTGGTTAAGCTCCAAAATTTACTTAATAAGTTTATTTATCAATGTAAAAGATGCAAAATATATATTAATTTTTGTTAGTCAAAGATAAGAAATAAATAAGTAATTATTTTGAAACAAATTTCTGCTCTTTTAAGTAACATTTTTACTTATTAAAAATAAAAAGAGTACACTAGAAAAATTAAAAGTTTAACTTACTTTTTAGCATAGACAAACATGTTTTAGATTCTCATTAAACACATAATAAAATTTAAAAAAAAAAATCAGAATTGAGGAAAGAAAGAGTTACCCAGAACCATACGCAGGAGGACCCTTTGGAGCTGACTTCTCAGCCATTATGACACTAATTTTGTGACCTCTCATTTCATGCACTGTTAAGCCAAACCATGTCATCGATACACAAAATAAAAAATTCCAAACGCCAAGATAACAGTCAATCAAGTTCTTACTATTGAAAAAACCACCAGCTGAATGTGCAGCAGAAGGATCTTCATATGACAAAACTGCATCTCCTTTGCTGTTTCCATGTTCATCTGTGTATATTTTTATACTCCAGGGCCACTGGTCCTTGTAGCCTCGCTTTTGCTTGATTCTTGCTACCTAGTTCCACAAAATTTTGAAGGAAAAAAAAAGAATATAAGACGAGATATATTTAACTGCTTAAAAAGATACTAACATTACCCCAATTTATTTTATTTGTATTAACACAAAAATGATGTCCACATAGTACAAAGTTAGAATGTCAGTCAAGATACGGTAGTAACAGTTCCTAATGCCCTCAAATATAATCCAGAAAGATAACACCAAAATTTATGCACAGATTTTAACCCTGGAGTACATATGGCCCGCACACAATAGTGCACAGCAGGTAAATTAGTCATGCTAAATAATTGTGCATCCACTCATGCATAGCAAATAACAATAATGCTCCTTGAGGAATGAAGGGATAGGGTGATGTGGCAGATTATAATCGAGTGCTGTGATTTTATTTTTTTCAAATTGTCCAATCATGTGACGACACGTCCCCTGTTTTTGAACCTGTCCTTAAGCCTGTTTGTGTAGCACAATTGAACATATAATTAACTAGGCAAAGAAATTTCCACATTACTTGTCCAATACTTCCAAAAAGATCTTTAAGCTCGTCAGTGGTCACATCTGGCGGTAAATTCGAGATATAAATTCTAGCGTTGTCACAGGAGTCACCACAATTTTCATCACACTGCTTCACTGTTGCTGGAGCCTCAGTTTGAGCACTACCATAACCTCCTGAAGGGTTCCGAGAATCTCCTCCATAGCCACCAGGTGGGCCACCTCGTCCCCCACCACGGTTATCACTACGTGCATCACCACCATAACCAGCTGGAGCACCATATGATGGAGGATATGAAGCAGGGCCACCAGTATAGCTTGCAGGTGGAGGAACTGCATCAGGAGCATAATTAGGGCTCCCGCCATATGCACGAGGAGGTGGGGGGTAGTTGTTACCCACTCCATTATAAGATGCAGGAGCAACTGGAGTATCCTGTCCATAACCACTATCATCTCTTCCTTGACTACCACCATAAGAACCACCTCTACTATTTCTTCCATCATAATCATTACCACCCCTTCCACTTCCACCATCATAATAGCTACCACCCCTTCCCCCACGAGTATTTCCACCACCACCACCTCTACCCCCACGATCATCAGAACCAGCAGGAGACGGTGTACCACATTTGTTACACTCAACTCTTCGAGCAAAGTTCAAATTCCCACACCTACATCCAAGGAGGTTAAAATCAATTACAATTAACAAACAGAACTGAAATATCAAATCCATTTTACTCTCTTAGTCAAAAGTCTTATAACACAAATATGCAAGATATTCAATATACCAGAAATATGAGCATAATGATGGGTCCGGAGATGCAGATTTGAGGTACAAAATCCAGAGAACTTGCAAATAGTTGAATAGTTTGAAATTGTGATAATACGAGAAGTCTAGTTCCTTGATGAAGATTATTACTGAACTAAATAATATCTTCAATCCCCTTTCGATCCAATCACATGCAACACCAGTAAGTTACATCCATACAAGCCAGAAAAAGATAAAAAATCTATGTTTTCTTGAATAAACTAAAAAACTTAACATAGGAAGCGCAAGTAAAAAAATCTAATCTCCTATGAAGACTCAAATTGGGTTCTGTTTTAGCGTCTCTCATGTTTAATATAAATTATACAAAAATAATACCACGATAAAATTTCCCTCTAATTATATTTACTATATATAGATATAAGTTCCAGTTCCATGTGAACTGCGTTACCCTGGATTAGGGCATCGCCAATCGCCTTCCCTGCCACTCCCACCACCTCTGCCGCCACCACCACGTCCCCCGCGATCTCCTTGGTAGCCTCCACCGCCACGTCCCCCACGATCTCCTTGGTAGCCGCCACCGCCTCCTAAAATAATAGGAACAGATCTCAGATAAATAGCAATAAATCACGAATATACAATTATACAAGGCCAAATCCGAGAAATTCAAATCCAGATATCAAAATAATTAACCAAAGGGCATAGAAAACAAAATAGAAGACTATCAACTACTCCTATTACCTCCGTATCCCCCACCTCCACCTCCACCACCTCTTCCGCCTCCTCTATTACCACCATAGCCCCCACCGCCGCTACCACCATAATTTCCATATCCACTGCCACCACCACTATTTCCTCCACCATATCCTCCGTAGCCTCCACCACGCACGGGCGGCGGAGCAGATCCATCGCCTTCGTAACCGTACGCACCCGACATCTTTTATATTACTCTTCGAAAGTTGATTAAAATCTTCTCAATCTTCAAGAATAAATAGATTAATTTATTTATTTTTTCTAGCGAGGGACAGTAAAAAGAGAAGAGAAAACTAGGGTTCCACCAAAATGTGTGTTATTTATATCTAGTCAACTACAGAAGAAGATATTTTTCTCCCCGGATTAGCTTGTCGGGAGATTGTTCAGGTACGCTCGGTTGTACACAAAGAGATTAATGTTAACCAATCAGGGCCGTAAAGAACCTTTTCACAAACTTCTACAAGGCCTCAACACGTGTACGATTTATAAGGCATTTTTTATGTACCAAAAAGAAAAGGAAAAATGGGAATGTATTGGTTTGTTGGTCACTTCTTCCCTAACAATATGGCAACTTGAAGCTGCCTGGTTAGGTGATCGTGTATTCGAACACTCGGGCTGATAAAATGCGGTCGTTTTATATACATTTCGACCACTTTTGTAAACTATAGAAATTACTATTGTTTTAACATATAATTCGACGACAAATGAGGGAGAAGCAACTAGCCGGTAAGAATGTGGATCGTCTATCGGAATGGCCTCATGAGAAAGTATTGAATAGTGAAGATTACTTTGGACCTAAGATGAGATTTTCCCAATCTACCCCCCTCATTACACGCCTCACACTATTAATAATAGAGGTGAGAGAAATAATCAACCTGGTAGAGAAAATGATAATTTAGTGTCAAAAATTTATTATTACTGTGCAAGGGGGAAGCAGCCAGTGGGCGCGGGGGATTTGACATGAAAATTGATTTTTGATTCAAAAAGTACGCCCAGACACCCTCTTACTAAGCTAGTTCGTTTGTCAAGTTTTAGCTATTAATGAGATTTGCTGCCAAATCTCTCTAGTTCGAGCAATAGATATACTTCTTTGACATCAGTGTGTGCATTGATTTGTTTCGAGCTTCACTTTTTGCACCTATTTGTTTCGAGCTTCACTTTCTGCACATTTTCTTTGAATTTGTAGTATTTTTATTTTTTTTCTCTTGAAGCAATATAATTGAATTTGTTTTCAAGAATACGTTAAAATCAAGCACCCTCAGCATTCAACCTTGTGAGTAACCGGGTTTTTCATTGGGCGAATGGTTTATAATTTATGTTTTATGAATTATGACAGTGAGCCATTGCTAGTTAATGAGGTTTATGATTTATGAAAATTGAGAAATTTGTGAATATGTAACATACTTGGATTGTGATTTGTGATAAATGATAAAGTAGGGAATTTGTAATTTGTGATAAATGATAAGTTGCTGTCGAAAATTGGAACTTGATGATATATTGAAGAATTGTGATTTATGATTTTAGTGCATTTACATATAGATTGAAGAATTTTTAATTATTTAATTAAATATTAATGAACGGCATCCCTGTTGTGATCGTTGATCGTCGATCGTCGACGGTCAATACTCAACGATGAACAAGCGTCCTAATTGAAGTTCATTTCTTGATCCGCCGCTTTGTATGCCCACAAGTGCCTCTTGCCATGTCACCTAAGCAGGAACTTTATATAAAGGAAGTTTGTCAATGGATAATTACAATCTTTTCATTTATAATAACAAGTATTCACTATCAAATATTGCTTTTTTACCTTAGTCTCCTCACCAAGAATATATTGACTTTCTCTCGCACCAGGGGGCACTGTGGACGAGGTTCCGAACCCTCTCTCTTTTCAGGATTTAGTCCCTGTTTGAGTCACATTATTTTTTTCATTCTCATTCTTTCATTCATTTTCAACCACAGATTCTTTAATAAAATAATATTTTTCATCACATTAATAATTTTTCCCTTCTTTTTCAACCACATATTCCTCATCACATCACTTCAAAAAATACATTCTCTCATTTTAATGTGCACCAAGCAGGCTCTTAGCTAATCGAATTACTGTTGTCACCAAGATGGAAAAAATTGACCGACCTCTTGTCTCGATATGAGGAGTACAAGTTGCTAGTGAATTTTGTAACAAAAACATAGATTAAAATTGTCTACTAAGACATAAGTGAATTTTGTAATAAATATGTTTGGTGATTAAAGTTAAAAATAAAATGCATCCTTGGCTAAAACTGAAAAATGTGAAAGAGCTTAAAAATAATGGTATGATAAATAAATAAAGTAGAATTAAAATTTTAGTTCAATTTTAAGTACAATCATACTACATGTACATCATCATTTATTCTTTACACTTAGTCACATAGCAACAAATCATTGGACAGTTTTAAAAATTAAACAATTTTCCTTCCAATCCTTTTTTAACGACACATCAAGTCCCGTTTGCACCCCATTAAAATTATAACCAATCTTCTGTCTCATTTTATTAACCACACATTTTTCAATAAAATAATATTACACGTAAACACAAAATCTTTTTTTTTTTTTTTAAACCACACATTCTTAACATTATTCTAAAAATTATAATATCAAAATAATAGGGGTCAAATGTCAAGGATGATGTACACATGAAGTGTACATCTAACATTTCTGTTTAAAATATGCCAAGCGTGTTTGGAGGTTGTATAAATAGAGTGGTGAATAAATATGTAGTATTTATAGAATTTACGAAATATGTGAATAAAAAATAATTTGTCGATTATAAACAGAACATAAACAAGGGATATCTTTTTTCCACAGTATTTTTACTTCTTAAGACTTTGCGAAACATAAGTATGTTTCTCATTTTGAACGTAAATAAGTAATTATTTTACTTATAAGTAAAAAAAAAAAAGCAACATATCAAACAAAAACTTACTTAAAAGTAAGATTAAAACTCTTGAGCTTAACAAAACATGCCCTAAATTTAAAATTGCCCTCGTTTGACACCCATTCTCTTTCTCTACTTCATTTCAACTAAACATGTTATCAATAAAATAATATTACACATAAATCCAAAAATTCTCTTTATTTTTTAACCACACATTCTTCCATCAATCACTATTTCAAATTTTATTATTTCTCCAAAATGGGTGTCAAACACAAGCTATTAACAAGTAAACGCTGTTCATATTGTACTTCTATGCTTGCATGAAATTCTTGCATATAATGGCTAATTTATCATAAACCGCACTCATGTGACTAGCATAAAAGGCTATTTTTCATAACTAAGAACTGTAAATAAAAATTTAAGATTTGGATAACTGAGAAATGATGGAAAATCACTGGATCGCGATGACCAAAAAAGAAAGATGAACAGACTTCAGTTCGATCAAAGAGCAACAAAAAAATAAAAATACAGGCGTTCATCTGCATAATTCAACTGAAATTATCTCCAATTGTCGCTTAATAAATACAACAAAATCGCTCCTGTTGGTGAAACAATCCAATGGAAAAATGTGTGCCTGTGTAGGACTGAATGCGAGGTCCTTAATTCAACAACATATCGACAACTATTGACTGATGGATCTACGGTTGTAATCAATCCCAGGCCCCCAAAAGCACAACTCTCAGCCTTTTGATCATGCTGCTGATAATAGCTGTTAAATGCATAAGAAATATTCCCAGGCCAACTGAGATTGAAACAGGAACCGCCAGTTGACAGTGCACTGCAGTCAGCAGCAGAACATGCATCTAAAGCAAGTGCAGTTGCATTAGACAAGTCACGGTTATTGTTCACTACACACCATTTAGATGACAGGTATGGGACATCTTGTGCATTCACCAGTTTCCTTAACCCCTGGCCCAAATCAACTTGATACTTAGCCTGGCCATCAAAAGTGAACACGCCCCAGTGCCTCTCAAAATTTCCCAAGGCTACGCTTCTCTGATCCTCATCTAAAAGACTGAAAATGTACATCTCTGTCGGAAGATCTTGAGGACTTGGATTCTTTCCTGATCTTGTATGGAGGTGGTCCATAAGGCCTTTCATGAATTCTGCAGCATGCGCTGAAGTAGCATTGGCGGCCCCATCTGTTGGCCAACCAATTTGTCCGATGATAATATCTATATGGGGAAAACCTGCTTTGGATAGTGCCGTGATGATTGTATCATAGCTCATTTGAAAGCTGTTTCTGTATATCTTGTGACTATCATTTCGAGGGTGTGCACTTTCTCTGAAGAGAGCATAGTCGAGGGAAATGTTCTTGCTTTCTTTGTAACTTTGGAAAGGGGATATGGTTACAAAGAAAGGAGACTGATGCTTGCTCAAAAATGCAAGAAGTTCCATCATGGTTTTATTGACATCAGGCCTGAAGTGTCCCTTCGATGGAAGGCCAGATTCTGACAGGAACACGTCGTAACTGCAGGGAACTACAACTTTTACCTTGTTGGCCAAGTTAGCTTTGACCAAAGCTGTATGGATGTTGGCAGCTGCTCCAACAACAAAGGGATAGAATTGTACGCCATAGCTTTCGAGGAATGGCTCATCACCAGCAGCAATGTACCTGTATAATAGTTTGGTTTACAGCATTATCAGATGAAAATCCTAGTATACATACAATGTGGTTGCACATGGAAAATAGTGAAGGAAAAAAAAGGAAATCCAATATAAGATCAATAATCACCGAGGAAATTTGAGACTTCAGAATTTGAACATTTACAAACACGGCAATGAAACCTCAGGCACATTTTTGCTCAATAGCAAAGTTACAATTCCTGAGGAAAAAGCATCTTATTTTATGCTTTCTTTAGACTGGCACCCATTGAATGCAATTACATAGTAGTGCCAATTTACATTCTGCAAGTCCAAGGTGTTAACATTATTCACACAATACACGCATATAAATAATCCTTCATTCCAAAACGAAAAGGACGAGAACTTTTGAGTCACTATTATAATAATGTTGAAGATGTCTGGATGAGAGATGCAAACAAAAGCAGTTAAGCAATCAACATCAGTCAGTAAGGAATTACTACGGTAAGATTTCATATTGGCATGAGTGAATCCTTAATTGTGGTTATCGGGTTCTGAATGAAGATAAATTTATTGCTGGTCACTGAGGAGCTATTAACTAGTATAAACATAGTTGATGACTGAAGTTCTATAAATAGATAACCTAGTCCTCTCTCTGCCCATCCAAGAGAAATATGAAAATTAATCTATTACAGTACACAACAAAGAGAAGGAAATGGAACAAGCTTATTCGACAACTGATTTGCAATTATTTGGTTTCTCCATAATAAAAAGGACAGGTATGTACGAAAAATAGAAGATTATTTTGGTCTACTCCCAATAGATTTGAGTACCAGATTTTAAAGATTTAGGATAAGCTTTTATCTCTTAGATATTTTTTCTGTTTCTCTATATAGATAATATTTGTAATAAATGTATCCCCACTTATAATGTAATCATGTAATTTCGCTCAAATATACACACAAAGTACTTTTTTTGCGTTCATCGTATTAGAGCCAAGTTCCCGTTGAAATTAACATTGCATTATATCGTACTTTATGTTTTCATTTCTTATTGTTAATGGGATACAACATATTTACCGAACGGCGAACACAATCCTCTATAGCGAGTCAACTATCTACGTTGTCCCTATCATTAACTACGAGAATAATCCTTTACATTTCGAATTAGTTCTACTTAACCCAAATGCTTTAGATTCAACAATCAAAGTTCCAACACACAATTTAACCACTTCTAGTGAATTCAAAATTCATCTATATCATCAACAAACCAAATACATAAAGAATCTGATATTTAATATCTTGTGAACTCATATTGAACTGATTAAACACCAATTTTTTCATCCAAAATCCCTTATTTGGTGAATACTGAGTTAGGATATGGAAGCCAAAAAAATTTCTAAAGCCATTAATAGAAGCACTTCCACACTTTGTATAGCTATTCTAGAAACAGTTATGCATCAAATGAAGCTGCACAATTTTTTTCACAGATTCTAAAAGATTAAATAGAGGAATGCCTTGAAAAATATATATATATCTATATCAACCTCTGCTCATGAAGGACAGGTTCTACATGCCATTATTAGTTTGCTTTAAAATTCTCAGTAAAATGAGGCAAAAGGAGAAGTAAGAAATAGCGTACTCTATTTGGACTTTTGAAGCGCCATCGGAGACGAAGCGGGTTAGATTATCGTGTACCCAACTCTCGGCCGCCTTGAGGGAGGAGTTTAAGCTACGAAGCATAGAGTTGGGAATTCCGACCGTTACCAAAATGTTGGAGCCCGAAAGTGACTCCAGAACAAGAGGGTCAGCATCAAGTAGCTTGACTTTGTTGATTTTGTTAGATTTCAAGAGCTCCACCACTTTTGGAGGCGGCAGAGGATGCGACGAGGCGGTGCCCCAGTTGACTCCAATGGCTTCAGCCTCCGGTGATAAAAAGGTTGAAATTGACAGTATTGATAGCATTACTAGTGATAGAATGGGTATGGATAATGGGTTGA